GAAAACTCTAGGTCATGTTAGCGGGTCTATGAGCTGATATTACAACCAGAGACCTCCCGAGCACGAAACAGGAGTGCTAACTACTTGGCTGCGATTTTCTTTTCTGTAAACAGTGGTTTTAAACCCATTCCCTTTCTTTCCTGCGTTTTTTACATTAAAAATAAGATCAGTTTTCTTGTTAGATGTTGCTTATTGTAGACATCATTAACAAATTCAAGGAACATTTTCTTCTTGAAAAACTAATAATTAGTAAGATAGTCAAAGAATTGCCCGTCGCGTATGGAATTTAAAAGTTTAGGCTGTGTTTGAATGAACCCGCCACTGAATCTTTTGCCGAATATATTGCTGTCGGCCAGAGTTAAGTAAATGCCTGTGGCACATGCGGTTTGGGAAGTCTTTTGCTGCATTACAAGTAGACCAAAAATGTCGTGCTTATTCTGATTTGATGTAAAATTTATAGGCAATATTTTATAACACTAGAAATACTAAAGAATTATAATCGATTCTCATCGATCATGAACAATGTAGCAGCGGGAAGCGACAAACGCGCGTACTAAAGACGGATGTTTTCCGCTAAAGCTTGTGGTGTTACGCATGCGCACAATATTACTTTCCTACCGTGTCACCTGCGCAATTGGTTTTGCTTAACTCTCTCTGATTTTATTTCTCTCTCTCATGCTTAAGACTGTTAATTAATTAATTATGTTGTCTATTGTTTATTAATGGGTAATACAGCATATCAATCAGTCTCACGGTATGAGTCAGCAATCTAGCGCTGCAGCCGGTAGTTTCTCACGCTGATACGTGTCTGTTGTAGGTGACAGTGAGTGACAATGGAACACCTGCCCTGTCTTCTACGACACGTGCGGTAGTTACAGTAGCAGACACAAATGATCATGCACCAGAGTTTGAACAGATGTTCTACAAAGTCACAATTCCAGAGTCTACAAATTTAGATGAACCTCTGTTCCAGGTAAGGAACCTGTTTTGACTGTTACCATTTTAGGACAGATATTTGGTATTTATATCTTCAGATCCACAAAGATTCTATGGAAATAAGTGAACCTCTTTAAGGAAATTTAAAAAATATTTCCCGGAAACCAGAAGTCTGTATTCTAATCTTAACTGTATTTGGTATAATTTTATACGATTTATACGAGATTTTAAGTGTAGTAACAGTAACCGGAATAATCATGATTTTAGCGATACAATTGGGAATTATTAATGCAGTTGTAAGAACTAGTAATTTATTTTGCAGCGTCTGATAAAAATAAATTAACTAAACTTCAATATATTGATGGCAGTCTTCTGGGTTGTAGCATCATGCACACTTCTGAAGGCAGTCTTCTGGGTTGTAGCATCATGTGCACTTCTAAACTTCTACATGGCGCTACAATCCAGAAGGCGGCCATCTTTATTCACCACCGTGAGAACCTCAAACCCTACTTACAATTTATTCGCATAACCCAAAGGTTCGACACTGCTAGAACCAAAGTTCACCATTGGACATGGTCCTGCCTGTTGGTTAGTGTCAAAATTGATAACGTTTAATTCTGAATTGTATGACAGTTAAGGGGAAATCTGTTCTTTGTGTCCGCTGTTTGATGTAATATCAAATATCAGGCCTTGCTTCATTTCTCATACATATTATCATACGTTAGCACTCTTTGCATGGATACAAATTTTATGCTCACCATTTCATTGTTTAAATTTCATCACAATTTAAACATTACATCAGTATTTAATAATAATTTGAATATAATAATCCGTGGCATAACAGCCCTCTGAGAGCCAAAGCCGACTAGCTTGACTGCTGGCCTCACGTTCACATGCCTAAACAGAGGTGAACGATCATCCAACCAGATATAGGGTGACGTGTGGTCAGCACGACGAACCCCCAGCCATTGCTAGCTTTCCTGACCGGATTACGCTACTCACTGTAGCTCCCCAATTTCCTCACGATGCTGGGTTGGCACCGGTCCCATACACTGGTCGAAAATCTCATGAGAAAATTTCTTCTCCCCCGAGACTCGAACCAGCGCGCATTCCGTATCGCTGGTCCGAAGCATGATGCCTCAGATCGTGCGGCTACGGCGCGGGACAATAATTTGAATATATCTCCATAAATAATCACATAATGTCCAAGGACTAGTTTATAACAGCAGTATTTAACATTTGATTAATATGGAATTTAATTTTTTTGCATGCTATGGAAATTGGGACAAATAGTTCATATATTTATCATGTCACATTTTATCTCATTTGACTTGATCTGTCTACTTATTGTTACCCACTCTGAGTGTCATTTATGTGAAGACGTCATGTAATGCCACTCACTATGCAGTTAACTACATTGGCTGTTGACATCGTGTTTACTTTTGTGTTGCAGTTTCAATTCACTGTACTGTGTTATAGCACCACCTTCATTTTAGTTTAATTTCACAGTTTTAGGAAGAAATTGCACTGAATGACTTTGTTAACGAGATCTGCTTGGCTAATAAAACAATACGATGTCTTTTTTTGAGTTGGAATCTTATATTTCATAGTATGCTGTCTTTCTTGTCTGTGTGCTAGATTACACATTTAAATAGTGGTGTTATGTATTACATATGTACTTCATTCTTCTGTGAGGTTTTGCAACTCTCTTCCAGGTCTTATGAGGTAGATGGTATTGTGGCGCACATTGTGATGTACGCTGAACTGTAGTTAGTTAAACAAACATGCATCAGTATCTGTCAATATTTAAACTAATTTTTTTAAGAAGAAGTATGTTACAATTGAAATGATCTACGTATAATTAGTTTTGTGTTGTAGAAAAGGAATAAATGACTCTTACATCGTCTTATATCTTTACAAGATTGTTAGGTGCAGATTGTCTACTTTATTATTTGTTTTAGATTTTTATATAAGTCTAAAGAGCTACACATGATGTTATCAGTTCTGTCTGTTCATTATTTCAGTGTTAGTCAGAGCTCTACCACCACGGGGGCTTGTAATTCTGGGATCCCGGGTTCGATTCCCGGCGGTGCTCAGATTTACAACTTGTGTTGGGCAAGGCCGTGGTCTAGGCGTCACGGAGTTTGTCATGTTTCTAGTGCACATGATACAAATGAAATGCATTAAAGGGGCTCAACTGTTGAGCGGTACAGCGATGACAGAGGCATTTATGCAAGTTAGATGGAAATATTACTTTATGTCATCATAATAACTAATGCAGTGGGTGTTTCTGTGCCTTGTTGATGAAGCTGCATAGGAAAAAGTAAATAACAGTTTCAATTATAGAGTGTTTAATTGAGAAGTTCTCTTCATCAAGTATACTTTCCACCAAGAATGAAATATTATTTTACATTAACGTAATTTATATTAGATTAAAAATGAACCTGAAGTTTGCTGTAGTTTCTTCATAATTGATACTGGGAATGACCCATTCAAGTGCCTGAGCACTGCGGGTCCCAACGTTTTCGTTGGCTTGATCTATGGACATTCGGTAGGACTCCTTGAACGAGGGATCGGCCCGTCGCAAGGCATCTACCTGTACACAGGACAGCACAACACAGAAAAACGCGGACAAACGTCCATGGCTTGAGTGGGATTCGAACCCACTGTCTCAGCGACCAAGCGGCAGAAGGCCCACTCCTCAGACTGCGCCGCCATAGATCAAGCCAACGAAAAGTTGGGACCTGCAGTGCTCAGGCACTGAAGAACCGGTCATTTTCAGTATCTCAGTATAATTTTGTAGGAACAGTCATATGTTTAACCTATGTTATTATAATTAGTTCTGGCCAGACCTTATCAGCGGGACATTCTTAAGGTGGCGGTCAAATTTATTTCTCTGCTTGTCAGACTTATGTTTTATGTATCTTGTTCCCATCAGTTTAAATATATTGTAAATATGACTTTTTCAATTTTCATGATCACAGAAAGTAAATGCATTAACTATTCTACATGTTTCGAGTCATAACAAAGTTAAACGTTTTTCATTTCCATGTTATGTAAAGCGCCTAGTTGTGTATACTGTCTGGTATTTAAATACCAGTGGGACACGCAATTAAACAACATTCACCATTAGTATGCTGTGTGCATTAAGTTAAGAATACCTCTATAAAGCATATATTTTGTTGAAATTTAAATCTTGTATAACAATTTGTAAGTAATGCAATATCTTTGCATTTTTCGTTGTGTAAAACACTTGTAACAAAAATTTATATGAACAAATTGCCCCTTCAAACAATAAATTTTCATTAATGTAGCTGTACTTTAAGCTGGGCTGTTTTCTGAGTCTTGTCAGAAATTATGATTAGTTATTTCAGTGTAAACATTATTTTAAAACAATTCCCTATTGGTTTATGTTTCCTTATGTCCTAAATTATGCATTTAGATTTATGTTTTGAGGGAAATCAGAGAGAGATGGCTTCCAGGGTAACATAGTGAGTGTTTTAAATAAAATAAACATCCATTATTTCCTAAAAGGTATTACATTATATGACTATTGATATTCATGTAAGCTTTGGTTTCTAAAGTCTTCAATATAGTCTTGGATGAGCCGGGATAGCTCAGTTAGTATAGTGACTAGCTACGGGCTGGACGACCGGGGTTCGATCCCCGACAGGGCAGAGGATTTTTCCTCCAGCCTCCTCTACAATGGGTACCGGGGCGTGATGCTGACCACTCACCCCCATCTAGTGCCGAGGTCAAGGAAGAGAGGAGCTATACCCCCTCTCACCCCAAGCACCTGTATGGCGTATAGTGGGACAAACTTTACTTTACTTTTAATATAGTCTTGGGTGCCCAGATCATCAACATTAAGTAGAGAAAGGGGTCATGCTTATAAAAATAAGATCAGTGCAGTGTAATATCTTGCCTTACTTTTTATACCCCATCATTGTCGACCTTCTCACTTTCTGTAAGCATTCCCCTTAAACGTTATTGACGATGGTTCCTGTACAATTGGTCGGATAGTTTATTGCCAGTTATCATTGTTCACCGATTGTAATTTGATGTAAAAGTGATAAAGCTTTTTAAAATTTAGTTTGGTATAGTAACTAACATTTGTATCAGTTGATCCTTCTAATTTAATTAAGTAGAATTCTTTCAGAAGCTGTGTTTGGTATACTGTTTTATCATAAAATTTGTAATTACATTGAGGTTTACGATGGACATTTTTCATTTTTTTGGATTGAGTGTTAAAGCATTTTTAGTGATTTGTTGAACTGTTCAGAGAAAATTTGGCAAGATTTGCAATTGAAATCATTGCAGTTATTTATTGTAATTCACATCTGATTGAACTAATATAATTATCTTTGTTATTCTGTAATATAATTGATATTTATTTCTGTATTCAAATAACTGACTTCTAGCCAGAGATGATGATAATAATATGACCATCATCAATATATGAAGAAATCAAGTTTCTGATAAACCGTTTAATAATGCACATCAACCATTGTCAATATCATTTAAAGCAAGCTTGTGTTTACGCCTCACACAGAATGGCACAGAGGACCTTGAGCTAGCAGTTGATACGTTTCTCGAAAACGGCACTTGGGAGAGTTTTGATCCCGACACCTTATCAGGAGAACCAATATTAAGGGTAAGGAATCTACAGATCAGTGCCAGGGTACTTTGTATGACAATGTACAGCATCATTTAAAAATTTATTAATGGTATGTGCCTGCCTTTCTTTCTGTATTTTGTGTTTTGTTTGATGCTAGTTTGGAGTATGGATGTATATGTGTGCTATGCTTTTGGGCATGTAAAAATGCAAATGAGCACTTTGTTCTGATATGGAATGTCAGTCAGTGTTGACTAATAATGCATCTTATTGTGTGTAATTATAAAGCATTGGCTACTATGCCTTTTGGTTTCTAGTCTGTATATATTAGTAGGCAGCCTTCCAGACATAATAAGTGAGGTTATGTTTGCTTAGCTTATGTATGAATTTTGTAATTTATGGGTTGTACTTGAAGGGGAAATAAGTATATTTGGCCCTTCTGAAACATTCACCAAGGTACTGAATTTAAATTGATTATTAAATATTTATATAAATATTCGTATTGTCCCTTTTTTTGATCTTTTTGGGAGATATGTTTCTTGAAAGATGACATTACAATTTTATTTGCAATAATTCAGAAGTAGTCGATGGATTTTTATCGATGTAACTACAACATTTTCAAACCTGTGCACTTATTAACACACACTGAATAGAGATTTTGATTGTAGTTAATGCCACATTCCTTACTGTTTTGTGTATTTTTGTGTATGTTGTTAGACTATGAGTAGTTCTTACAACTTGTACCATAGAAGTGGGATAGTTAAGTTTTAGTTGCTTATAATGCAGGATGCTGAAAGTGGGGTCTGGATACATGATCGTTATGTTGAAATTCATGTATGTTCTCAGTCTTGGTGATTCATTCAGCTGTAAGATCCAAACCGGTAAAAATCGTTTCTTAATTCGTGATTTCTTTCAGAAAAATAGTTATGGCACTATTTATTGGAATGTTTTAAGTGCAGGATTATATTAAAATTTATGTAAAATAAACATATAATATTTTTAATTAATTATATATCAATACAATAAATTCAGGGAAAATGACAGGAGAAAGTTATACACCACAGTTCATGAATTTTTGTGAGCCACAGAAGAATTCCTTCATAGAATCTTTGCAGTTCATCAGCAAATGTCTGTCTGCCTGCGTGTTTGTTATTATTTGTGTTCATTAAACAATTCTCTGGAAGAAACGGTTTGTTATTATTTGTGTTCATTAAACAGTTCTCTGGAGGAAACATGTTTATTCTGATGAAAGTAGTAGCCCGTAGGAAAATGTATGAGTAAACTGTAAAAATATTTGGTTGCTGAAAAAATAGCGAATGAAAAGTAAAGGCTTCAGATACTGGAATTCTTCTGCACAGGATGAGAAGTATTATATTAGTGTTTCTAAATGGTTATGATAGTTTAACATTTATCAACTGTGAATCACAGCTTTCATTGCAGTAGCTTAACCATTAAACCTTGTAGTTAGGTTAAAACATGTTTTCTGGTTTCATAACTTACGTTCTCATACCATCTTTTCTGCTGTTATTGCAGTGTATATCTGTTTAAAATTGTATTTGACATCACAATACATCATCATTCTTCTTTTAAATCTATATTTTATAAGGAACTCAGAGTATTAATATA